ACACACACACACACACACACACACACACACACACACACATGAATAATGTAAGTAGCGAGGAAATTGCAGCAGCCTGACAACGGGGCTGATTCTGAGCCACAATCCAAAATAGAGAGAGAAAGAGGGGCCAACACTTGCATATCAAACCGAGGCTTTGTGGTTAGACGAGAAAGCGGGGAGGAGGAGAGGGGATGACAGACGATGCTCATGTTTAAACAGCAGCGCAGGAGAAATGAGAGCGCGTGAAAACATGAATTCTCAGTGATCTTCTTCATTTCCTTCTTTCACACCAAAGGCGAGGAGGTGACTGAAAGGCTGGAGCTGCGTAGGTAATTAGTGGTTGGACAATTAGCACCCTCCCTCCGTCCCTTCCCCTTCATCTCAGCTCAGTTTGCCTGTATTTGTACACTTGTTAATAAGGACCTCTGTCTTTGATAATCCACGCTCTCGCAGATGCGTGAGCACTCCTGCACACGGTTGTTGCAGGGCTTTTGAAAACACGGTGTTCGTTAAAGGCGAGGCCTCGTCGTGATGCATATCAATCGGATGAGCGGAACGAGAATGCTTGTTCCTCCCACCTCCATATTGGATGTTTAATTTAGGCGATATCTGATTGCTTTATTTGAGAGCGAAGTGATTCCATTAGGTTTGCCTAATAAGAGTCTAGTAATGTAATATTTTTTCAGCATTGTTAATTTCCATACATATTGGGTTTAGTAGCAGGCCGCTGCTGACTATGGTTTTCTTAATGAAGAGGCGATGAAGGCGGTCATTAACCTGTACAGTCTGCTGTGGTTTAAAGTGGATGTTCGTGAAATACATGTAAGATGCTCACTAGACGGCTTTGTGCAACTAATGAACTTGTTTGGATCCAGGTTTAGTTTGAACAGTCTGCTTTTGGGACAACCGATTTAAAACCTGGCCTCGGCCCTGAACCGTGATGAGACCGTGAATGTTTGCTGAACAGGTCATGTTAGAGCAGCAGGCGGACAACTTTATTCTTGAAGGTCTTTCCACGTGATTTTAGAAGTCAAAGAACGTTAATCCCAATCTTAAAAAATCAAACGAGATGTTGGGATTGCTCCCAGATGCAGGATTGGTTTTCATCTATTGGTCTGAAGCTAGGTGAGATAAAATTATCATCTGTCGTAGATGAAACCCAAGCAGCACTCGCCTGAGTCATAATCGTGCAGATATTTTGGAGCCTGAATGCGATTAGCATCCTTTGGCATTGGTGCTGTGATGCCACGGTGACCCAAGTCACCCAAGGGTTGCTTGTTTGGGATGTTGTGCTATTTTAACCGTTTTATTTCTACATCCATCTCAGTAGTTTTTGGTGTTGAAGCTTCTTAAACAGCCACAAAATGTACAAAATAAATGAAATCTGAACTTTTTCAATCAAAGATGAAATTCAGTGCTGTCAAAAATCTGATCTCCTGGCTAAGAAGCTGCACGTTAAGCCACCTGCTTGTGCAAACTTTGCCCATCTTTGAGCTCACAGTCCAGTTTCTGAGTCCAGCTATTACTTTGACTGTTGCACCAGCTCACCAATGCCAAAGTAAACCTTGTGCACATTAGTTACCTCTTTTTAACTGGTGTAGTCCCAGCAGAGCCAGCTCTACCTTGAACAGAAGTGAACATCATTTAGCGTCATGGGTTCTCACTTTGGGAACTACTGTTGTTTTTGTGGAACCTGTTCTAGATTGAACGCCAGCATCACTTCTGTGAAAGAGAGGTGTGTGCGGCAGCAGCCCCTGGCAGAATTTAACTGACTGAGATGTTAATCTCCTGGCTATGTAATGATGTTGGTTGGGGATTGATCAGAAATGTCTCTGCCTTGCTGGAACCTGAATTAGAACAGTGTGGGAAATAACACTGGTTAATGCTTGACGTGCTTGACCAGGTTAGGCTCTCATACCAAAACCTCAGCCCAGCTGGGAAGCATGGTAGAGGGAGCATCATGGTTTGGGATTGCTTTACCACCTCGGTAGCTGGACATCAAGCAGAGTGTCAGGCAGTTATGAGAGGATGGTTTGATCCCTTTGCCCGCACTCAGTCTTTGATTACTGCTGATTCAGCAAGGACACAGGGCCGCTCTGCTGTTCATGAAGACTCTGGCTGACATTTTCAACCCTTTATCTCCAGTTTGCCTAAGGACACATGCAAACTTTGTCTAAGGCAAGAACCTCCCCTTCATGCAGTATGACATTAAACGTGTCTTGGGTGGAGCAACGTCTTTTGGCTTTGTCAAGGCAACATCACGCGATGTTACAAAGTGTTTTCTATCAGTTTGAGCCCTCGTGAACTCAGGTGATGTCATTTTCAGTTTTTGAGGGTTCAATTTTGGGACTGAGCCGAGTAGATCAACTAAAAGGCTGAAGTAGAGTACATTTCAGCTTTTGAAAGTCTGAGTCCTGACCTTAATTCAAGTGACGTGCTGCAAGTATGACCTGCACGCAGCATCCAGGACGTACCGATACCCTGGTAGGAGGACTTACTGTGTCTGATGGAGGCTGTTGCTCCTGAAGTCCCTAAAGTCAAGAGTTAACTTGTTTTCCAGCCTTTAGAGTTAGAATTACATTGAATAATCACTATTTGGATGAAGAGCTTTTCTTCCGTAATAATTGGAGACATCCTGGTAATCCTAAAGAGTCCTCACACCTTCAGCTTCATTTAAAACAACATTGAACTCGTTCATTGTGGAAACTGTTTCTTTGTGTTTATTTGAAAAAAGAAAATACTGTAATATGTATCTGGGTGCCTTTTGGTCAATTTTCCTTTTTGCTTGGTGTTCCTTTAAAAAAAAAATCCACTAAAGTGATTCTGTGCTGTCATTTTCTACTGTAAAGCCACAAAAATCATCCAAACTTGTAAATGTTTACTCTGCCGTTAAAAGTCTTTCTCATGCCAGACACAATGCTGGTGGAGGGATACGTGAAGTTTCACATATTATTAGGCAGTGTGTCAATAAAACAATTCCCCCCCCCAACAATGCTGTTTCCCTGTCAGTCACTCAAAGCCAGGAATATTTATTTTTCACATTTCAGTTCATCGGTTTCTCTTTACAGACGCAGTCACGATTCAGCACTGGTGCAAATGAATTTATTGAGGGGAGGAAAAAAAAGATCAAAGCAAATACAAAACACTTATATAACCGTCAAAAGCTGATCACCATCATCTTGATAAAAAATATGTTCGTTTGATTTCTTTTTTCTCTCTGAAGCGGCACATTTTAAATCTATGCTGCTCTTCTTGGCAAAAAAAAGCAATAATTTGAATGTATCTATCTCTGTACTTACAAATGAGGTAAAAACATTGTTCACAACATGTCTGCACCCAGAACACAACACTGAAGAAGCCGTCGTATGCTACAAATGAATGGTGGGAAGTGAATCTCCGCTCCTTACAGCTGTAGTGAAGCATGAAGTGTTTTCATCCTTGTGTGTGTGGGGCTCAGGCTCGGACGCTCTCCAGAGAGCAACATACAAGCATCACTCTGGAGGAACTCCCCACTGCCTGAAAGATAAGCCTGTCTTTTACTTTTAGGCATCATTGACTAGAAATGCTCTTATTTATAAAAGCTGCATTGTTGCCTCCGCTGCTCGGAAAGCG